TTAGGAAAGTCCCTCCGGTTCAAAAGAGCAGGTTCCTGCCTGAGGGCCTGCAAGGCTGGGTTCCAGTCCCGCCCTTCTGCAGCCTCTGTGGCCCTGGGCAAGCTATTTCCTTCCTCGCACTCAAGTTTCCTCAGTCTACAACAAAGCAATAACCTTCCCAACTCCATCCCTTTCCCTCCGCACACGGAACCCAGGGGCAGCCGAGGCCTTGCAGCTCTCGGTACTAAAGAAGAAAGGTGCTACATCTGTTTCAGACACAGGCACAGGAGAATCGAGCGCNCCAAAAAAAAAAAAAAAAAAAAAAAAAAAAAAAGTTGCAGCGAAGAGAAGAAAAACTGAAGGAAAAAAGAAAAAAAGAACCATACAGAATTTTTCCACCACATGCACCCTCTAAGCCAGCAGATTTCCTCTTTGCAAAATCATATTTTTGTGGGGATGGGCCTGCTTTTTGTGGCAAGGCCTGTTCGGATTAATAAAGGATCGTGAAAAAGTAGGGCCTTGGCTGTTTCCTCTGTGGGTCCCAGCCCTCTCTCACCTCCCCAGGGGAAGAGGCAGTGGGATGAAGGGGATGGGGAGCTTGACATGAGTCTCCTCTCAGCTTGTCACCTATGGGATTTGGCTTCACTGGTGACCAGGTCCGTCCTGAGCTTCCAGACCCCTCAAACCTCAAATACAATCCCACCAGCTGCCTAGAAAGCAGGGGAGCAGCCACATCTCCCAGGTCAGGCCTGAAGCAAGGCTTACTGGAATGGAGTTTCCAGGCCTCAGGGTTGTCCCTCCGGCTCACCCAGCTTGACAGGGGACCCTTACCACCCTCCACGGCAGGTCGGATCAACCAAAGGAGGACCCTCCACCATCCCTACTACCACCAGTGGGCCACTATGGTTTCAGGACAGTGTCTCTTTCCTGGTCCCCATAGGAGAAAGACTCAGCTCTGGGTCTGTTGCTGGACCTGTGGCTTCTCTCCACGCTTTTCTAGATGAACTCTTTAGGCTTAGGAAAGTCCCTCCAGTTCAAAAGAGCAGGTTCCTGCCTGAGGGCCTGCAAGGCTGGGTTCCAGTCCCGCCCTTCTGCAGCCTCTGTGGCCCTGGGCAAGCTATTTCCTTCCTCCCACTCAAGTTTCCTCAGTCTACAACAAAGCAATAACCTTCCCAACTCCATCCCTTTCCCTCCGCACACGGAACCCAGGGGCAGCCGAGGCCTTGCAGCTCTCGGTACTAAAGAAGAAAGGTGCTACATCTGTTTCAGACACAGGCACAGGAGAATCGAGCGCATCTCTATTGACGTGCGTCCACCTGCCGGCCCCTGCCCCACTCTGGAGTGAAAGGGGACTATTGCCCAACACCTGGGCTGGCAGCTGCCTCCTTGGGTTGTACTAAGTACCACTCCCCCTGCCCAAGCTTCCTGTCCTCTCCCTCTCTGCCCCCTCAATTTCTTAAAACCTGGTTTTAGTTTCCCTTTCAAGGTTGTTATTTCTTTTGGCTTCTGATCTCTGTTTGAGAGATTGGGGAGGGAGCCATGGGAGTCAGGTAAGTAGTCTCAGAGCAACCCCTTGCCAAAGCTTCTGTTCGGGCTTTTTCTGTGAAAACGGACCTGGGAAACTGAGCCAGAATGCACAGACAGCCCAGCCCCGGGAGAGGTGGCAGCCCCTTGCCACCAGCTCAGGGCCTCTTCCCTGGACTTTTTGCCTCTTTCCTCCACTTTCACTTCTTTGGGTCTGTCTGCATCCATGTCGACTCTGAGATGTTCACCCATCCCTCCCTGTACCTGGGACCACTGCACTCTGGTGTTTTCTTTGTCCTGCAAGTCCCTCCTAGATCCCACTGCTTTCTGGAAGGCCACCCTGGGCCACATGTCCTGTTCTCTCCCTCCCCCACAAAGACAACCAGAAGGACAAGGCTTGAAACACACTGTGTGCCCCGGCCCGTGGCTCCCTGGCCATCTGTTGCCTGTGAACATGCCCGCTTCCCATGTCTGTGTCCTGCGTGTATGTGTTGTGTCTCGTTTAGATTGTGAGCCCCCCCACCGGGCAGGGATCCCTGTCTGAATACACGTTCTGTGTGGCACGCCTGCCTGGGTGTGCTAATAAATGTTCATCTTCAGAACAAGAATGCCCAGGTGTCTTGCCGAAGCTTTGGGACAGATGGCGGAGTAAGCTCGTGTGGTGGCATTGGAGGTGGGGAGGTGCTTCCGGGTAGGGGCCCCAGTTCCCAAGCACCCTGTTCTCCCCTTTCCCAAGCCCCTGAGGATGGATGGCAGGGGGCAGGGGATGGCAGTAGCAAAGCTAAGAAAGACCCACTGCTACACTTCTGTGCCCTGAATCTCTGCTGCTTGTCTGGAGGCTGCGGGGGAGGACAAGCAGGCTGCCACCTGCATCCATTCCACTCTCAGACCTGACCAGCAGCCAAGGACGCAGCAGCTGCTCCTCACACGGCACGGCATGGCACGGAGCGAGCACTGGGTTGGGAGTCCTCACGCCCATTTATGGGCAGGTTGCTTTCCCTCCTGGACCTGTTTCTCTCCCTGCCACTGCCTCTGCCCTTTTCTCATCACGGTTCCCACAGCCTCCCTTCCTGCTCTGACTGCCAACTCCCTGAGCCTCTGTCCCTGAATCCCAGGCACAGACACAACTCTTCCAGGGCTTCCCTGCCCTGATCCCCCATGGCCCACCCACCTCTGACTGCCCCAGGACAATGTGGGGAACCACAGATGTGCCTTCTCCCTGCTTCCCAGAGGCCAAGTGAGAAGTCACAGGAAGTAGGGGGTGCTAGGACTCCTAATACAGTACCCTCTCCATCACCCAGGGGAGCTGTGATGCCCAGCTGTCCCTGGCAACAGCCCCCTCCCTACCCTGGTCTCCCTCATTTCCATGTGGAGAGAAAAACCCTCAATAGTTCTCCAAAGCCAGGCAGCAGCACCCACTTTAACCAAGCTCTCTAACTTTCAAGAAGGAGCTGGTTCCTGATGCTGGTTAGAAGCAAAGCCAGGTCTGAGCCCTGACAACGTCTCCTCTTTCTCTGGGGAGAAACTCAGCCTCGGCAGCCCCTGCTTGGCCGGCAAGGGGCCATGGATAAAGGCAGGGCCCTGTGTACCGCAGGATAGCCCAGGGGGGTACTCATCGCAGGGCCTTTGCCCAGACCTAGAGTCCTCAGGCAAGAACAGCAGGAGGAGGCACAGGGAAACAGACCAGGAGGAGCAAAGAAATCTGGGCTCTCCAATGCCCGCAGTCATTCCAGGGTGACTGTGGCTTCCTCCGCACCCCCCTTCCCATGTCTAAGATTTGCATGAAAGGAAAGTAGACAAATACCTTGCATGGAGTATTGAGCTGCAGCATCAGATCTAAATAAACCAACTCCTGTACATCTGTGTACAGACTGAGAAACTGAGGCCCAGGAGGGCCACGACTTGGTCAAGGTCAATAGAACTAGGACTGGAACCCAGGGGTATTTCCCCTATGCCATGATACAAGTTATTGGTCAAGAGGGCAGTTCCTGGGCCGGCCCGGTGGCGCACAGCTACAGTGTGGCCGCTTGGGAGTGCGGTG